TTCCAGTGTATCCACAGCCGTAGCTTATGACTTCATACATAGCCCTATTTACTGTGTAACTTCTCCCCTCAAAAGGCATAAATTTTGCTTTTGCTTCATAACTTTGTGCTTCAGTAAAAGGAGGTTGGCTTCAAGACCCAGCTTATAAGCCGGGTTAAATCAATGTTATCAGACTTCGGGCACATAAGAGAAGATTAATCGGAAAAAATAAATTAAACTTGTGTTTGCTAGTAGTCTGAAGAAACAAACAATTAACTTAAGAGGCTCTTAATATGTAAGCCCACTAAGTCGAAAAAAAGCGGAAGACTTAACAGGCACAGATCATCATATCCGTAATTTTCATTCGCCTTGATGGCTTCTTTGATATCTAGCGCCAGTTATATTAATGAATGTTGATCTTAAATCCCTAAGTGAGATAGCAGTAAACGATCCTCGCTACACTTTAATGATTGTACCTCAAGTGAATTACTAATCATAATTTCTATGTCGACAACTTTTGAGTTTCCAGTGAATTCGGCGTTCTGTGACCTACAGTGAAACACTTGTTTGTTTATTTGTTCTGGGTAAAAAAAAACTTGATATAAATGTACGCAAAATAGAAACTTGATCATATCGACGGGAACGTGATTGAATCATTGCAAAGGAATTGAATAGTCACTGACCTCGATCAATCAAATCATTCTCTAGTCTTAAAATTAGCTAAAATTACTAAAAAATTATCGACCAACCGTGGAAATAACATCCGCTCCTAAAACAAATATATTTATTAGTTTTCAGCTGTTCCTGTTTCGGTCTCCATGGTAGTGGGAAAAAGATGCTGTTAGTAATTTAGTGTTATAATGAGAAAATTTCACGGAAAGGGTAGTGGGATACAGTAAAAACCCGCGACTAAGAACCTTGTTTTTAAGAACCTGTTAGGCTAAAACCCATCTATACAAGAACCTGTTAAGCTCCTTTTTGTGGCTACTACTCGAAGAAGTAGTAGGCGCTATGCTGGCACTTTGTTAGAATGAGTGTAAGTAGTCCTAACCTTCGGAAAGATCGGGATTTTGACGGACACTGCCGACACCGATTCTCGTTGTTGTTATCGTCGACTATCGTGGTGAACAGAAAAGTCCTTCAAAACGCACTTTTTTCGCTTTTGGGAACAAGCCAAAAATGTCTTACGAGACACAAATGAGGCCAACATTGATTCCCTATTGGGAACGAAAAAAATGTCTGCTGTGTTTCGAAACTCATGTTTTTCACAGTTGGGAATTATCGTCGACGCGAAGGTGAGTGATCGACAGCGACAGTGTTGCTCGCCTTGTCGAAATATTATCAGTTGTAAAAGTAGTTTTACTTGCCATGTGCTTCGTGGTTTTGCCTTCTGTCTTGTTGGGTGCAATAGGCCATTTGCACTAACAGGTATGTGACATCGTTTTTATGAAAATGAAAGTTACATGATTTTGCCTTCGAAAAACGATTAGTGGGTCATGTCTTAAACAAAATAATAGTCATTTGGTTTTTCAAGCCCGCACCATTTTCTTAAAATGAATAAGTTCGTAAATGGTCACGTGACCAAAAAATGTGATTTTTAAAATTATGAATTACCTCTCTCTGAACACAAATTTTGCACTTTAACTTCAAGGAAAATGTTGAAAAGATGATGTGATAACGTTTACAGCACATCTGAGCGTAACTATGAAACGTTAAACAAGATATAAGCAAGTAGTAGTTTTGGCCGCCATGTTGGAGGGCAAAAGTATGCCCTCCAACATGGCGGGCCAATACAAATCATACTTCTTTGCTGAAAAATCAAAGTGCTATAAAATATCTCCCTTAAGAGCGGATGTCAGTAAATATCGACCAGAGGTCTACAAAAGTGAAAAATCGAAAATTCTCAAAAAAATTCACAAAGTAGCACTGGGTAAGCTATTAACATAAATGTAATTTTTACTTCGATCCGATAATTATTTTCCACGTACGGGGGGGTTATTGGTTTCGCGGCTCTCGGACCGGGCTTTCCAGGCCCGAGACCATGTGTCCCAAAGAAATCGTTTTAAGATTCAAATCCATTGTAATAAGGACAACAAATAACTTATTCAGAAGAGTACATAATTGCACACATTTTAAGTGGTGATTTATTCAGTTTGAACGAAAGTGTAATATTTTGGAGATTTTTCATTGTTTTCAATATTTTGAACGTTTTCGTTCAACGAAAAAATGGCAAATTTCCAAGCCCCAAATCGTCGACTGGTACCTCGATTTCAGTAACGAGTCTTATACCACGTTAAAGAGTGTTATCTCTTCTTTTAAAATCTGTTTTCAAAACTATGGGCAACTGAAAAGAAAATTTTTGAGGCCAAAAAATACAAGTAGTACTTTTCTGAAATTTGAGCTTTGCAGACTCAGCGGGCCGATGCTAATAGCTCAGACAAATGCAATAAGAAATCAGTTTGAGCAACAGTGGTTTAACGTTATCAGCTATCAGAAACCAACACGTGTTTATCGAGCGATCTGATAAAATTTAAAGCTGTTTTCCAACAAGAAAAGCAGAGTTTAGCCATCTTCTGCTACCAAACGCACGAGTCACGTAAGGTTGTCAAAGGGCAAAGCACAATAATAAACTTCAAAAAGCACAACGTATTTCCTCGAAATAAGCTAAAAAATACCCAATTCACGCGGTGAAAAAATGGATGATTATGGAAGGATTATCGAATTCTTGCCTAACCTGAGGGATTTCTCAATTTCCCGTGATGTAGGATTTGGGGTAGGAAAAAAGCCCATAACCTGCTCCTGTCGTTGAGAATTTCCTCAAGATCAAAAATTTCAGTAAGAACCGGAAAAAACAGCTTAAAGGAGGTGCACACACCTTGACCTAGCCAGGGAAAAGGGGCTTCTGACTGAGCTAAACTGTCATTGATGCACGGTGCAATTAGTTAGACCTGTTACTATCCCCCGCGCAACCACAGGAGCTCACAGGAACAAGTCCAGCCATTTGGGGAGTACTTTGAAGCGGTCCTGTCGGAGACTTTCGGGGGTAGGGGGCGTGGCAAATCAAAAATAACTTCTCTTTGTTTTTGTGAAGTACATCATTACTCGCACGGTTGTCAAGGTGACGGCGGACTCCGTAGCTGTGGAAAGGCCCTTTTGAAACATGTCCCGGCAACATGCAGGGCATCACGAGATTGACGTCAACACCTCGAATCAACTCCATGAACAGGGAGAGGCGATAAGTCCTATCTTAAAAGATGCTTGATGTCTAGACGTGAATAGTTTGTCCGCAGTCATTTTTCATTTTGTATATCGCGACCATTTGACAGCGCACGAGTGAACCGGAGCGCAGTAACGAGCCCTAACCCCACCCCATTGCCCTTGCGGTCAATAAATTATCGCGTTTTTCATTTTCTTTTTTATGCGCGTTCGAGAACCTCCAAAGCGAATATTGAGGGTCTTTGTACAGTTTCAGTTTATTTTACCGACAAAAAAAAAACAAAACAAAGCAAAAGACAAGTATACAGAAATACGCAGAAGCAATGTGGTGAGGAAGCCCAAAAAGAAACCATAAGGCTTAGGTCATCCCCTTTTCGTTTGTTTAGCGTCGAATAGGTTTCCTGGTTTTGGGTGGATCGGTCGGTGGGGTGAAAAAAAATCACAAGAAATCTGAGAACAGGAGGCATGAAACACCAGCATCATTGCCGTGGAGCCTGAAAACAACAAGACATGGTCACCAAATCGACACAAACTCAATATGGCGGAAAATGTGATGGTCAATTTCATAAAAAAAAGGCCCAAAAGGCTAAAAAGCAAAAAGGATACACCACCGAACGTTTTATGCCTGAAAATGCTGTTATAATGCTCATTTTTTAGATTAAAAGAATTAATTTAAGTCCAAAAAAAAAATAAACCTTGTCGTTTCTTTTTCTTGCTTTTTAAAAAAATGCCAAAAAACTGGGTCTGTTGGACAACACTAAACGAAGAAAAAATTAATATAAGTATTAAGCTCCCTTAAAGTATAAAAGTATAAGTTTACAAGGACAGGATCGAACGTATACTGAGTAACTAAATGATAAAAATTTGATCAAAATTAAATGAAAGGCTAAGAGTCTAAGCGCTTTCCGATAACGAAACGGTAAACAAGAAGTGCTGCCTGTCATTTAATAGAGACGTGAAATACTGGGTGGACCACATCCTGAACTCCTGCGAAAACCGCAAGAGAGGCAAGAGAGGAACGCTCAGGGCTAAGGAGACTAAACAGGGGCGTAGCTACTTGTACCCACGGTTCGCACGTACGTACCCGAAAACGTTGAGGAGAAAAAATAGAATGAAATAAACATAACTAAAAAAATCGGTTTACAGAGAAGCGACGACATAAATTGGAGAACCGAATCTTGGGTGATTTATTTATATAGCAAGCTTGATGATGTAAAGCGTGAACGCGTTGTTTTCTCCATGACCTGTCTTCGGAGTAGACGAAGTAGGGCACAATTACGTCAATGTGTGGTGTTTTTGTCGGTCAAAAATAATGTGACAAAAAGGAGTAAAAAGAGTCATTTGTGTACTAAAGTCGGAGGTACTATAAGCTTGATTTTTAAGAGGGTCTCAATGGGGTTAACCGATAGTCGTAAAACGGCCAAAAATTTAGTCGACAGCCGTAAAAATTGAAAAATTTTAACCGTTAGCCGTAAATAGGGTAAAAAGAGTTAACCGTAAAAGAAATTGTTCCCTAGATTTGCTACTTTTAAGGAAGGTACTAAACTCACTTATGGTTGCGTTTTTTATTTCCCTGCTACTGTGGCTCCGTACGCACGTTAGGTAAATCGTCTTTTAGGTGTTGACCAAGACCCTGGTTCCATTTCCGCCGCTCCCTCGGGGAACTAATTTTTTTTCCATAGCGAAAGTGTGGCTTCTTGCTGGGGATTAATATTTGCGATTTTCAGGAGGTCGTGCCCTCGAAACACTAGTGAAACAACACGCAGAGATGTCACTGTTTGTAAAACAAGTTGCCGATAAACAACATTTCCCTGTTTTTCTCTGACGCTACGGTAGACATTGCCATGCCTAGTCCCTGTACGGCGTCTTCCCACGCAATCTCGGTCAAGGCATTTCGGTGGCGAACTCGCTTGGACCATGTGACCCGAAACGCATTAGCCGCGCGAAATAATGAGGCCTACGGACAAGGCAACGGCTGACAGTGGTTCCGTACAGTCCTTCGCTATCATTAAAAACACTGGACACGGGAATTTTGTTATTGGCCGTTTTCACACTGGAGCTAGAAACGGATTATCCGTCTGAGACTAGCCTGTGTACAGCCGCCCCCTTCCCAACGGACCTCCTTCTCCGATTTTTTTCTGAGGGGAGAGGGCGGCTGTACACAGGCTATCTGGAACGGATAATCCCGTCTTCAAACTGTCCGTCGAAATTGAAGGATAAAGTCAGGCGGATTGTTCATTCAAAATTAAAACGATTCCATTTTCAAATTAAGACGTATTACCTGTCTGACGCGAATCATCAAACGGATAACCCGTCTCACACGAATAATCCGTCTCCAATGTGAAAACGGCCATTTCTGTTGTAATGAATGTCGCGTCCCGACCTTGAGTTGGACGTTCACGTGTGTGCTTTGCTTTTTCACAAAGATTATTTTTAAATTGACTATTGACATTTCTATGTGTAAAATAATATTAAAAATGGAATACTTTATAAAAAGTATGATCTATCAAATGTTAAAATTTTTCAAAAGAATAGCTTATTTCACATCTCGAGATGATCTTAAGACCTTTATTTTGCTTTAAAGGTACAAAAAATACAGGTTAATTAATATTTAACTTTTTGAAACAAAAGAAGTTAATTTTTAACTTCTTTTGTTAACCGTAACTGAAAAAAATTAGCCGATAGCCGTAAAAGAGCCAAAATTTTAGCCGATAACCGTAAATGCCACAACCCCATTGAGACCCTCTTTTAAGAGCTGAATTAATGATAAACGGTTGACGTCAATGAAAATAACAAGCCGACAGAATTAAAGAATTTTAGAGGTTGGGTCATTTCATAAACAGCAAAAATGCTTTTGCTTACAACCGTTAACCCCTTAATAAAATGTTGAGATTTGGGGGGGGAAGGGGGAGACGATGTAGAAAAAAGTTGGGCGTACCTCCGGAAAAATCCTGACTACGCACCTGCTAAAACCTGAAACTGAACAACAGGAGTCTTGACGAAACGTCCTCAGTTATCATCCGTCCGGGGTCGTACTTTCAAGGAAGTGCTGATCAAGAATCATGACGGAATGAAAACTCCTCGTAGCTTCCAGCGAAAAAAGGAGTGACAACAGTGGTAAGCGGTCGCTCTGTGAAATGTAACGCAATCTTTGCCGTTTACGATGTTTCGGCGCTTGGATTTAAAACGTTGTTGTTTGGTATGTTCTTCCGTGTGGATGCTTGACATTTCCAATATATGGAAACACCATGCTAAGGTACGAACAACAGACATTCACAACATTGTTTTGTACGCTAAAATCTGATTTCATGGACGTAAAACGTTTTGAATTTTAAGACTTTTTAATATTAGTGCTTTGCCCTCCCGTGACTGGTGCACTTGGCAGGAGTTGACAGCTTAAATCTGCCTTTCTTGATAGCAAATAGCCTCCCACGCAGGCGTTTTTAGGGGAGCTCGTATTCTTCCCTCCCCACAAACGCCTGCTCAACGGAAAACAACATTCCTTTCCCAAGCTTAGCCAATCACATTGTACTTTCCAAATTCTGGAAAGTTGACCTTGACCGCAAGGTAATCTGATAATTACTCGATCTGCATTAAACACTGGGAAAGCTTTCTGACCTGCAATAAATGTTAGATTCAGAGCGGCAAAAATAAGTTTTAGTCAAAATTCAGAATACTCCGTGCACTGCATAACCTTAGCGAAGGAAAGAAAGGAAGCAAAACGGTAACTCTAAGGTCACGTTCAGTCGTGTTTAGCCTGTCAACACTTCATTGCACAATTGTTGATTGGTCACCTACCACCCAAATAAAACAATGAGAAAGGAATGTTGTTTTCCGTTGAGCAGGCGTTTGTATAGGCTCGATTACCAGCCGCTGTTCGGGAAAATGAGCCCGCACTCATCCCCCCGAAAGAGCGGCTGGACGCGTGCATTTTCCTTTGTTAGTTTAAGCCAATCATGTTACCGCCTGCAGATTTTCGTCTGGCAAAGATTGTCGCAGAAATTATCACATCAAAACAAAAAGTCCTTCCTGTCCTTCCAAGATCCATCGCATGGCGAAGCGATTTCGACGACGCGGAGACACCAGGCGAAATTCTAGAGTCCGAAGGAACACAACGTTTTGTTCGATTGTTTGTTGTGAATGATTGTGGTTGGAGAGATTTTGCATCTTCAAGGATCTTTTCAAGACGCTTTAGGTGTCGATAACTGCGTTCGTTAGATGTAACCGTCGATGTTTATATTTGACAGAGGAACATTCAATACGATGGAAATTCTGTCTGGTAAATCAGAAACTTTTCCATTTAATTTGTTCCGCTTCCGAGAATCAGTCAGTTGGGACCCACAGAAGACGAAATCCAATATTCGAAGATCAGAGAAAATTAACTACATGTCGCCCTGTACAGAAATGTACCGAAGAATCTTTTTCACAATGTATGGAAATGTACCGAAAAACTATTTCGAAAGTCATTTGGGTGGGTAAGGGAGAGCTTGATGCAATTTTGAGCCAAATAAATAAAAAACTTGAAGACCGGTTTCACTTCCAGTGACATCGGAGACGCCTAAATTATCAATTTTTCAATTACGTCACAGACAAGGTCAACGGGTCACGCGTCCAGCCGTCTCTTTTCGGGGAGGATCAAAGACCGGACCCGGGAGACAGCGGAAATCGAGCCTAGCGTTTGTAGGGAGGGAAGAAATACGAGCTCCCCTAAAAACGCCTGCGTGGGAGGCTAGATAGCAAACGGCATTAATTTATATCAGGTCGCTGTATAAACACGTCTTGGTTTCTGAAAGCTGATAACATTAAACCACTGTTGCTCAAACTGATTTCTTATTGTATTTTTCCGAGTTTTTAGTGTCGGCCCGCTGAGTCTGGAAAGATCAAATTTCAGAAAAGTACTACTTGTATTTTTTGGCCTCAAAAATTTTCTTTTCAGTTGCCCGTAGTTTTGAAAACAGATTTTAAAAGAAGAGATAACACTCTTTAACGTGGTATAAGACTCGTTACTGAAATCGAGGTACCAGTCAACGATTTGGGGCTTTGAAATTTGCCATTTTTTCGTTGAACGAAAACGTTCAAAATATTGAAAACAATGAAAAATCTCCAAAATATTACACTTTCGTTCAAACTGAATAAATCACCACTTAAAATGTGTGCAATTATGTACTCTTCTGAATAAGTTATTTGTTGTCCTCATTACAATGGATTTGAGTTTTAAAACGATTTTTTTGTGACACATGGTCTCGGGCCTGGAAAGCCCGGTCCGAGAGCCGCGAAACCAATAACCCCCCCGTACGTGGAAAACAATTATCGGATGGAAGTAAAAATTACATTTATGTTAATAGCTTACCTAATACTACTTTGTGAATTTTTTTGAGAATTTTCGATTTTTCACTTTTGTAGACCTCTGGTCGATACTTACTGACATCCGCTCTTTAATGCGTTTCCTCTCAAATTTCGGGTGTAAGAATTTTTGTGTGCTCTAACAATTTTTGGCATCAGCAAGATTCCAACTCATTGTTTAAAGGAAGCATTGGTCACGTGACCTCTTAGTGCAGGTGACCTATTCAAGGTGAGATCTCTCTCTGATAATGATTCTGTGCCATGTGGCACCCACAACCAGATACAGTTCTCAATTTACGTTTCAAGTGTTTTTCCCCAAAGCGGTTTTCGGCGCCACTCAAGCTTTGCGGAGATTTTCAGCTGATCAGAAGTGGTATTTATTGTCGTATTAAGCACTGTTATGGTTCAAAAGTCATTGTTTAGGGATTGTTCAGTCCCTTGACCTTTTAAATATGATGCAACTCATGCACATTTTGAGGAGATTCAAACAGGACACCTATTCTTCGTTGTGGTTGTTTACAATATTATCTCAACGTTCAAAAGGCATAATTTCACAGATCAGCTAGTCTCTTGAATCTACACCTCATAGACATTCGGAGGCAGATTCAAACGCGATACCTTTTGTTAAAAAAACTTCATTGTTTGCTGTTGTTTTAGACCGTTATGATTAAAAAATGAATGTTCAGGAATTTTTTATCCATAATTCTATCTTCACTATCGTTTACGTTATGATATTTTCAATGTCTGTTATCCTGAGGGCTTGTACATGTTATTAATAGTTCAGTTAATAAAAGGAATGCAGCCTGTCCACTTTTCATTCTACTCTGCAGTAGTAGCCACATGTAGTCATCGACTACCTATTTTTGAAACAGGTTTTTATTTTCTCAAATCTATAAAAAGAAATACAAAAAGCCGGATTGAGCAAATATGATTAGTCAGCATCCAGGATCCTCTTGAAGTATTCTCCGTCCAACTGCCATATACAGTTAAATGTATAAATAGTACGCCGGATTTTGTTCGCGAATAAGCTAAATACCACTAACTACTCTCTTTTAAAGAAAATATGTAAGAACCTATTTAAGAACTTAAATAGCCTAAATTTGTGCTAATTACCATTTATATCAAGGCATGTGTTCAAAACAAGGCCCAACTCTGCGCGAGCTCTGCTTGCATTTCCGGTTACGTACTTTCCGACAAGGAACAGAATTAAAATATAAACAAACAACTGTGTTGGATAAATCTGGCCACGGTTGTGGCAGGTTTAATGAAATCAAAGCTAACAGAATCACAACACATCGATATATGTAAACCGATTAACCTACTGAATAAAAAATGGGGCGACAAAAATCCGCCACAAAGTACAAAACTAAATATTTAAGAAAAGGAAAAAAGAAGAAATAGGAAATACCGTGAACAATAATAACCCGCAGGCAGGTGAAGGAGGAGGAGGAGGGAAAGATTTTGCTCGAGATCTGACCGAGTTGATGACGAGGGATCAAATTAAGGGGAGAGAAGGAAGAATTACTGGGAAAATACCTCGATGTACCTACTTAACCCTGACACCGCCCTATAACCTAATTGGCTAGATTTACAGTACCTGGTACAGCCTGACCTAGCGAGTTATCATGTGAGTATCATGCCTTGCCATAAATTACATTATGTCTGCCATAATGTCTAGTTTTATGTAAGAACCTGTTTAAGCTAACTTTGAAAACTGCAGGTTTAGTCGCGGGTTTTCTGTACTGTATTGCAACAAAACGTTCCTGAAATATACCATCAGAACGACCACCCGTGCAAACAACTGCCACCTATTCACTAGACAATCGACTTGAAATCAAATTTAAACTTGTGCAGTTCTGTTTTATTGTGCATTCAGGTCTTCATCAAGCCCTAAAAAATTTTCTCACCTTTAGTTTTAGAAATAGAAGCAAGCATGAGACCAGTTTAAGAAGTCAAATTTAATTTAAGAGAACCGCCGGCTTTTCAATGAAGCTTTACACCCGGGAGCCGGGGGGGGGGGGCGTTAGGGGCCTCCCTATAAGTCCTATTAATAATAGCTTATACCTGGAGGCTCTGCCTGAAAGGGGAGCCTTTTTTAGGCTTTTACTGAGGTTTATCAAAGACAGGGAATTCACTGTTGAAGTAAATAAAAGGGTAGAAGTTAAAAGGGCCTTAAATTGAAATGTTTCGAAACTGATTTGCTTTATTATGACTATATCACTTTCATTTATTAAACGTTACACTAAAATAACATAAAAACTTGAATTTTCTGATTTTGTATCTTTGTAACTGTCTGTCTCCAGCAGCAAAGCACGAAAAAAATGAAGGCTTGCACCGACAGGGTGATTACCACTAGACGCAACATATTCCTAGTCGTTAAAATAAAAGGCAAGTTTCCTTCTTGATGTCCCCTCTATCCTACATTTTCACAGCAACGAAACATCGAATGCTTGACTGAAGAAAGGAGAAAAAAAAGGAACAGTTCGGTGTATTTATAGTTTTATTCATTTCTTTGTTCTACGCACGAAATCCATTCCATTCCTCTACTTTTCACTGGATCACAATGGCAATTATTTGCGGTCCGGCACGATCATTTCCGGTCCATTTGGGGATCATTTGCAGTCTGAGGATCGTTTTTCGTCGGGGATCATTTACGATACTGTACCGATCTCATGTCACTAATAACGTCATCTCTTGTAACTATAGCAATTACTGTATTCAATGTTTGCCGTAATGTATTTTCGGAATAAACAAACAGCTACGGGAACGATACTAGATAGACGACACGTTATTTCGGCTTTTTAATCAAATAACTCAAAGGGCGGGACTGGTTGAGTTTAACAGGCTTAATTAAGTGTCCCGTTTGAGCAATCACGTGCTTAAAGCTTGGAATCTTGCAGCCCCGGCCGTGCAAGGATCAGGGTCCTTGCTATTACTAGCGAGTCAAGAATATAAACAGATTATTTCTCAAGACATCGTTGGTTATTGTTTTTTTTTTGCCCGTTGCAACATTATCCTAATTTGACATACGATGTGTGGGGGAATAAAATACATATCGTTAAATCTTGTACGCTACGCCGTTTAAGAAAAATAATTGTACGGGAACACAGTCGACAAAACCCATTTTCATTATTATATTAACATTCAAAATCTTCGCTTCTCAAATAAACTTTTTCCGGGAGGGTACAGTAGGAGATCACCGGCCGGTCCGTGACGTGAGTAAATTTGGGACTAATGTCTGCATGTTTAACACAAATTAATACTTATGGACGGGTCAAGGTAGCATCGAATTGAGTCATTAATTTAATACAACACAACAGAAATGAGTCAAAGTCAGTTGGTTTGTGAGTCTGGTAAGGCGACAGTGGTGTCTAATGCAGTCAGTGGACATGTGCTTATTCTATGGCAGCCAGTCTAGCTGCAATATGTCGGGTCAGCAATAGAACCAATAGTCTCGACCCCCGGTCTCGACAAGGACAAGAAAAAAATACGCATATTCATCACACGTCGTTGTGCTAAAAGAGGTAGATATCTATATTTGAACCCATTTTGGTACACAGCTACGCCAAATCATCGCCCTGGTTTCAGCAACCTGAGACAGGTTATTAACTAAAAAACCTAATGCATGCCACAAAGCAAAGTTCTTTTAGCTGAACCAACGCAGAAAATAGTTTTGCTGACAATTCCCGGAATAACAGAAGTGGTGTATTTTGAAAAAGTAGAAGGGTATAAACTTTGATAAACAATAGAAAAACACTCAATAATTAAGAAAAAATCAATTCTATGCACTTACTTTTAGCAGCTTTGCTTGAAGGACAACAAACGCACAGCGAGACAGTAAATGAAAAGGGAGTCTGAGCCGCAGGGGAAGTCGAATTGAAAGTAATGTATATCCTTGTACGTGCAGAAATTTTACAGACATGACATGATGTACTTGACCTCTGTGTGACGTATATTTTCATTAGTTTAAGAAAAGTTATGAGTGGGGTGGGGAGAGAAAGGGGAAGAGGGTTTTGGAAGTACAATGTTCAATCTTTCTTTATTTCACACTATATATGGCATTTACACAAGTGTACGTAAGTAGGAGAACAAAGTAGCTGATAAATAATCATTAAGCTAAAAGACATTAAGTTCATTTGTGTACAGCGTCCAAAGTAGCAAGAGCTTTCTTGTTAAACACCGTCATGTTCAGATAATCGGCAGCAAGCAGCAAAGAGAGGAAATAAAATCTCAAATATTATCAGAGATAGAAAATGATATCCATGTCCCCAAGGCTATTTAGAAAAACAAAATCTTACACAGCGGTCAGTTTAGCCTGGGACGGGCTCCGCAATTGAGGAAAAACTCGAACGAGAGGAAAAAAATCGGCGAGCCAAACCAAGCGGTATAGTCCGGGGAGGGAAAAGGGTCCAAGCAGTCCACGCGATTTTTATGCCGTTTCACTCCGTTTTTCGCCATTTTTTCCCCACAGCGGAGCCTGGTTTTAGAGGACGATCCGCTTGGAAACAATTCCTCTGCAGCCAGAAAATCCTTTGGAATGTCGATGCAAGTAGCAATTAAAAAAACTAGACTCCCTTAAAGCTTAAGGACCTTAAGCCGAGTTCTCTCAGGGCTGCCCGCCATGAGACCTAATAATACTCCCGGGGGGTGGGAGGTACTCGACCACTATTAGGCATAAGTGAGCCGCTGAGGGTTTGAAACCCTGACAAAAAAAATCCTAAACAGTACATATCCTGTGTTTAGGACAACACCCTCAATTTTGTTACCCTGTTAAATTAGGACAAAGGAAAAAATGTAGGCCGTCTTGTTTTTAAGCCATTTATCGGCAATTGCAGAGCAAATTCACGTTATAGTCATTGCCTTTGTATACTTGGAGTACAAACAAACTTCATCCCTTTTATAACTAGGACAGTCTCCGGCGCACAAAATTATATTCCCTGTTTGTGACTCGCGCGAAATTATATACTCTGTTCAGGACAGATTCCCGCGAAATTATATACCCTGTTTAGGACAGACTCGCATAAAATTATGGGATTTGCTGGGATACTCTGAAAGAACAACATCCAATAGGCCTACTTGCCAAAAATTAGCATTTGGTGGCAATTTATCTCTGAGATACTAGTCCAGTTGTGCTCTGAAAACTGCATACAAACCCCTTTAAATTTGTTTTGGTTCGACTCAAGTCGAAATCCTAATTTTTGGCAAGTAGGCCAGCCTCTTGGACGTTGTTCTTTCAGAATCTAGTGACAAATCGCATAATTTCAGAAATTTAATTTTTCTGACGTCATCACTTTAAAACTCGTCGTTTAAATGAAAGATAAGTTTCCTTCTTGACGTCCCTTCCTGATCCTAATAAATTTTCACAGCAACGAAACATCAAACGCTTGACTGAGGAAAGGAGAAAAAACTGCCAAAAGAAACAGTTCAGTTATTTATAGTTTTATTCATTTCACTGTTCTTTGCGTTGTTTAAGTTCTCAGCACATTCATCATCCATGCCTGAAATCCATTCCATCCCTCTACTTTTCAAGGGATCCTTGCCGTCGACAATGGGAATTAGTTGCGGTCCAAGATCATTTCCGGTCCATTTTGGGGATCATTTGCAGTCTGAGGATCATTTGCGGTTGGGGATCATTTACGATACTGCACAGATTTCATGTCACTAACAAAGGCATCTCTTGCTACTGCAACTACTGTAATTCATTGCCGTAATGTACATTTGGAATAAACAAACAGCTACAGGAGCAATACTTGATAGACGACACATTAATTGCTACTTTTTAATCAAAGAACTCAAAGGGGCTGGTTTAGTTTAAAGAAACATTGCATCCCGTATGAGAAATCACGTGATTAAAGCATGGGAATCCTGCAACCCCCGTGCAGGGATCAGGGTCCTTAGTGCTATTACTAGTCAAGACTATAAACACATTATTTTTCGAGATATCGTTGGTTATTGTTTTCTACGGAACACTGCTTAACCACAAGTCTGACAAGTTATCCTTCGACATACGATGTGTGACGAATAAAATACATATCATGTGAAGTAAATATGATTTATCTTCTTCACTGTTAAAATACATATCGTTAAATCGAAATATTAGTAGCGTATGCCTTTTTTTTCTTCTTTTTCTTGTACGCCGCGTTCAAGATAAATGATTGTACGAGAACACAGTCGACAAAACCCATTTTCATTATTACATTAATATTCAAAATCTTCGCTTCTCCAATAACTTTTTCCGGGAGGGTACAGTTGGAGATCATCAGCCGGTCCGTGCATGACGTGAGCAAATTTGGGACTAACGTCTGCATGCTTAACACAAATTACTTATGGACGGGTCAAGGTAGCATCCAATTGAGTCAACTGACATAGACAACAGAAATAGTCTATGTCATTTGACTCGTGAGTTCGGTGAGGTTACGGTGGTGTATAATGGCCATGGTATCCAGTGGAGAAGTCCTACCTTATTCTATGGCAGTTCTAGCTACAGTATTTCAGGTTTAAAAATTTTCGTCAGCAATAGTCTAGGCCGGGACAACTAATATTCATCACACGTCGCTGTGTTTTTAAAAACACTTAGATATCTTGATTTGAACCCTTCTTTGGTACATAGCTACAGAAAATCATCGCCCTGGTTTCGGCAACCTGAGACAAGTTAACTAAAACAGTGACTAAAAAACCTTATGCATGTCACAGAACAACATTAGCTTATAACCAACGCAGAATTTTGCTGATAGTTCCCGGAATAACAGTAGTAGTGTATTTTGTTCAAGTAGAAAGGTATAAATTTTGATGAAGAATAGAAACAACACTCATTTACTTTAAAAATATCAATTATATGTACTTACCTTTGGCAGTTTCACTTGAATGAACACAAACACACAGCGAGATAGTAAATGAAAAGTAAGAAGCAGGGGAAAACGAATTGAAAGTAATGTATATATCCTTGTATAACTGAATAATACGTGTAGGAATTTTACAGACCTGACATGACGTACATGACCTCTGTTTATTTTTATTAGTAATAAAAACGTTATGAGTCAGGGTGGGGTGGGGAAGGGGGAGAGGGGTTTTGAAGTACAAACTATGATATCCGTGCAAAACCATTTCGAAAAAATAAAATCTTGCACAGCGATCAGTTTAGCCTGGGACCGGGCTCCGCAGTTGGGGAAAAACTCAAAAGAGAAAAAATCAGCGAGTTAAGCGGTAGTCTAGCGGGACTAGGAAAAAACGGTCCACGTGATCTTTTTATGCCCTTCCACACCATTTTTTCCCCACAGCGCAGCCTGGTCAGGGTACGATCAGCTCTGATAAACAATTCTTGTGCACCCGGAAGTCAACAAACTAGACTCCCATAACATAAAGGCTTAAGGAGAGTTCACTCAGAGCTGCCCGCCACAAGACGAGGGAATTCAACCAATATTTGAATAGAACGACTCGGTATATTTTTCTATCGGTAAAACCACAGGGTACCCACACAATCTGTCTGGGTAGCCTATTGTTATATTTTATAGTAAATGTACGTAGATTTACCGTTTGCCTCACCTATAGCCATATATCGCTAACTGTGTATATAAATCAATAATAAATAAATGTTGAATTACCTTACCTGTAGTGTATAGTCGTCCTTTTGCCTCAAAAGCGGTTTTTTGAGCGATTTTGAATGAATTTGAGTTCGCCGTTGACTGTTCCCTGATAGAAGGACAAGGGAGAATCGTTGTTTTGAAAGGGTTCCAGCGCCGGAGCGATTTTTTCCCCCCAAATCGCATCGCTCCGCTTTCAAACTTCGCAGCATTAAGGTCAAAAGATTCACGATTCTTTCTCGTACCTTCCAATCGAAAATCCATCCAAACGGCCCGGAGCTAGCCCTCGAAGAAAATCAAAATCTCACAGTATTCGAGCGACTGGAATGCGTTGCAAGATCCATACGTGCCAGCGGGCGTGCCAGCCACAAACCTTCTATTATAAGGAACAGTCAACGGCGAACTCAAATTCATTCAAAATCGCTCGAAAAACCGCTTTTGAGGCAAAAGGACGACTATACACTACAGGTAAGGTAATTCAACATTTATTTATTATTGATTTATATACACAGTTAGCGATATATGGCTATAGGTGAGGCAAACGGTAAATCTACGTACATTTACTATAAAATAACAATCGGCTACCCAGACAGGGTCCCCTGTGGTAAAACTCATTTTCATAGTCCTAACCAATCCCTGGTAAAAGGAAAAATAAACTTGAACTAAGGAAAATTTTGACCCGATGCATAACAAATTTTCTTTTCTTTTCTTTTTTTTTTTTTTTTTTTTTTTTAATTAGGCCACTCAATACCTTTTAGCACCAGCAGCTATATTAATAGCTTTTCATCTGTCTCGTTTGTTTTCTTTTCACTTGCATGCGCTTCCGGTTTGTTAGTCTAAGTCCCAAACCAGTCAAGGGATGATTTAGCCTCCCACGCAAACGTTCGTAGGGGTTCGTCACGCGTTCTTACCCCACGTTCGTGGGAGAGGAATGATTGCGTGACGAACCCGTAAGAACGTCTGCGTGGGAGGCTAGGGATGATTGCATTTTATTATTGAATTTAAGCTGCCACATGGCGCCGGTAAGTATGCAATTTCAGAACCTGAGGCTGTGAAACTTTGGTTACCTTTTGTTCCTAGTTTTCTAGTTTTAACATTAAATCTCTGCACCACTGCATCAAGAGTGGGTGGGGGGTCAAAAATCTCTATAATATTAGGTGACATTTAAAAAAAATACCACTTTAAAAGATATCCTCTGCCCTCAACACTGCATGAAGCCTAAAACTGTTTTTAACATAATTGGTGCAGGGCAGTGGAATAGCTAGCTTGCCCTTGAATCCCTAAGGGAATAACTGGAGATTTCATCATGATAGGAAAACAAGGAATTCAAATGTAGCGGGGCAAGGCCATTGACACTTAACCCTAACCCTGGATTCAGGTCC